TTCTTGTCAAGGCCGCTTCAGAGAAGCCTTCTGCAGGTTGGCCGCAGTGGGTCTCTCCCGCTGTGGCTGGGCCTGCTCCCGTGCCTCAGGGCAGTGGCTCCAGGTGCAGGTCTGTTCAGGAGGTTAGTGGAGGACCACGTGATGTGCTCTTGGAAGAGTCTGGGACTTACAAGAATCTGAACTGGATCCATTCCACACTTGGCGTAAAGGCATCAACCTCGCTACTGTCGGGGTAGATACAGCAGAAGGTGGCCGGCGCACAGTACCAAGAGCTGGGTGCAGATTTGGATCCCATGCCCCCTCTCCCACCAGTTTTTATTCATGTGCTTTCATTCGATTTGAAAGAGAAAGAGACTGAGAAATAGAGGGGCCTTTCAATACCCGGTTTGCTCCTCTAATCCATGCAGCAGCTGAGGGTGGGTCAGCCAGAGTTGGGTCCAGAGTCTGAGTCCCCTACAATGGGGACAGTACCCCAACTACTTGAGCCAGCACCTACTGCCTCCAAGGATGTGCATGGGCAGGTAATTGGATCAGAAGAGGAACACGTGCTCAAACAGGACCGTCTGACACATCTGTGTCTCTGTATGCATCGGCCTAGTATGTGGCAATTTTCTTCTATTTCACATCCTTTTTTACAGTGCTTCCTTTTTTGGGGGTTAAGTTGAGCATTTATTACTTGATTTTTTTTCCTTATTGTTGCTCACTGATTGAATGTTCCCTCAGTATTCTTTCAGCAGCTCCACTAGAGAACAACACATTCCCGTTTGACTTGCGAGTTCTTACTCATTTTCCATTTTGCTAATGTTGCTGGAAACTTAAGATATCTCAACTCTAATTAATTCTTCCTAGCTTTTGCAATTATTGTGGCATATATTCATGTTTTACCTAAAATTTTAAACCTTGAAGACATTGCAAGCATATCACTTATGCCTACCCAAGGGCTTACTCTTGCATTCCTAATGCCTCGTTACATTTCCCTCTTTTAGGGTTGGTGGTTGGTGTCGTGGATAAGGTGCCACCCGGGATGCCTCTGTCCCACATCACCGCACCTGGGTCTGAGTCCTGGCTGCGTTCCCAGCTCCAGCTTCCTGTCAGTGCACTCCCTGAGGGCAGCAGATGACAGCTCAAGGACATGGGTCCCTGCCACGCCCCTGGGAGGCCCAGATTGATCCCCAGCCTCTTGTCCCAGCCCCAGCAGCTACAGGCGTTTGAAGAATGAATCAGCAGAGAAGGACATTCCCACATTCATCCACTCTCTCTCACTCATAGGATAAAACAGAGATATAAAAACACATAATTTTTATCAAGTAACTCTGTGAGTTCCCGTTGTTCCCTAAGGGTTAGCTTCCTTCATCCTAGAGAACCTATGATGACAATGTCCTTCAGTTTTCTTTGTCCACCCACATCTTTTTCACTCTCAGTTTTCGCTGACTTTAGCAGTGTCAGCTGTTGGGGGTTGCTCTGGGCGCTTACACTGGGGTTGCCATTCCGTGGCCAGTGGACTATCTCGTGGTCCCTCTGAATGGAATGTCTGGTTCTTGTGGCTGTTGAAAGCTGTTTCCTGTCGTTGGCTCTTGGCACTGTGAGTCTGTCAGGGCAGGGGTTTTCTGTGAGTGCTGCCCGCGTCCATTCTGGTGCCCTCAGCTTGTGCAAGTGTGTATGTTGATGCTGTCAACCACTCTGCACACATCTGATGATTGCTTTGCTATGTTCTTTCTCTCTTGAAAGCCAGTGCTCCTGTGGCCTGGGTGTTTATTCTGGAATATCTTCAACTTGTCATTTTCTCTGTTGGCTTAAACACTGTGTTGTAGGTGCTTATGCATTTGAGTTGCACAGAGATGGCTTCAGGGAAATCCTGTCCATTGTTGGACTCCCCAGATGCCCACAATGGTGGGGACTGGGCGAGGCAGAAGCCAGGGACCAGGAACTCAGTCCAGAGCCAACTATGTGGCCGTCACTTGCTGAAGCAGTAAATGAAACCCAGATAATGTATTCACTCCTACATCTGAATCAGCTGTGGCTCTGCCTTATCTTTTCTTCTGGTAAATGAAAAGCAAACCAGTGGGAGCTACAGCCTCGTTAGAGCGACTCCCCATAACCACCACCAGGTCTGTCCCTCCCCTGGTTTCCATGCTTGCCAGTATGTACTACAGACTTGTTCGGTTGGTCCCACATCCCATTTAGCTCTTGAACATGTCAATGGACATTGAAGCCTAGTTCAATCCAACCAACCTACTATCCAGCCCACACACATACTGGCAGGTGCCATTCTGTCTAGACACCCCTGTTCCAGTCCTGGTTTTCATGCTTTCCAGTGGGAGTGGTAACCCACTAGGGAGGCACCCACTATTTCCCTCCTAGGTCACTCCCACTCCTGGATTATACACTCTCCAGGTGGTTCTGGAGCTTAACTTGACAGGATTAGCCTCCAGTGCCAGCCTCTGCCAGCTGATGCTGTGGCTAAGCCCAAACAACCCTCACCCACTCTAATTTATGCAAATATACTTTTAAAAGTCCCTGGAGGAATGGAATTATGTTTGGTGCATTTTCTAAAACCGCACCTACATAGTTTGTTTTGTTACACACTTGGCCCATGAGCTGCCACAGGCCCCTTGTGTGGTCATCTCCAGGTGTGTGGTGAGCAGCGGGGGTCAGGGGCCATCAGCACAGCAGAGGGAGTTGTCTTCCACCTACAGGTTTGAAGCACGGGTACAAACTCAGCATGCCTCACATCAGAAGCATGGCTGTGCCGAGAGCAGCACTGCCTCTGCGGCCTATCCAGAACCCCTGGATCTCCCCTGGGTCTCCCCGAGACTCCTGTGCTTTGGTGATTGTCCATCAGGGCTTCATTCCTTAAGATCAAAAGGTCACCACAGACCTGGCTGCATACTCTGTGGCCCCAGCACCTGCAGTAGCCACAGCACCTGCCATATCAAGTGTGTGTGTGTCTTGAAATTGAGGCCAGCCATCATCTTGCCTCTGCCCGGTGTCTGCCTAACTGGAGATTTCACTGTGCTCTTGACTGGGGTTGCTTTAAGGCACTGGTAACCCTGCAGTTGAAGAACTCAATAAATGTCCCTTGTGGCAAATGTCTGGGGGGGGGGGGCGGTGCCTCATGCTTCCAGTGTGTGTCCTCTAACCCCACACAGCTGTGAGGCTTGGATAGTTCCCCTGCCTACCAGAATGTCTCTCCATGGTGCACGAGAGCTCAGAATGGCAAACCTCCGAGCCAGAAGTCAGCCGGTCTCTCACAGTTCATCTCGGAAAGCTTCTCCCCATCTGGAATGTTCTCAGTTTGACCAAAAAGCCCTCTGCTAGGATAAAAAAGCATTATTTTTGCAGCTCATCCCCTTCTCTCCTCCCCCCTTTTTTTTTCATTTTTATGATGGGAGCAGGAACCTGCCATCAGCTGTTCCTTCCTAGACAGAAGCAGGAGTCTGTGACCCGGCTTCCTAACTGAGTGAGCAGTCCCTGGCCTCCCTTGCTGAGTGAGTGAGCAGTCCCTGGCCTCCCTTGCTGAGTGACCAGTCCCTGGCCTCCCTTGCTGAGTGAGTGAGCAGTCCCTGGCCTCCCTTGCTGAGTGACCAGTCCCTGGGCTGGCTTCCTAGGAGAGCAGTAAGTTGGTCTCCTTCCAAAAGATGACAGTGCAGGTGAACTTCTGGGGACAGGTCAGTTGAGATGGCCAAGGTATTTGCCTGTCAGTTGCATGTTCTCATGGCACTTCTGGGAAAAGCTGCCCAACCCTGCCCACTCCTGCCTGGTCCCATGCCCTGTGCGCACCATGCTGCCACCTGCCTTGCAGCTCTCATGCCGCCAGTGCCTGGGGCCTGCTGTGGGGCTTCTCGGGGGGAACTCCCCGCCGCACTGCCGCACCGTGCTTTAGTTTCGCTGTTTTGATCACCTATGAATTCTTCTTGGGAGACTCTTTAGCCTGGAGAGTCTCGGACACCTTGTCCTGGCCTCGGGTCTGACCTCTGTGGTCTCTGGGTCTTATTAGCCGTCAGAATCCTCTTCCTCGGGGAGATAACAGGCTGCATTGTTGGCATTAGAATTGGACCTAGGACACTGCAATGCGTGCTGCCTTGCGAGGAGTGCTCCCATCTCTGACCGGTTTGGTTTCACTTTGCTGTGTCTTCATGGAGAGCCACTGGAGCTCCAGGAGCAGGTGGGATGATTCAGTCACTTCCTCTTGGTTCTCCCCGTTCTTACTCCACAGTCTCACTTTGTAACCCAGAGTTCTTTCTTTAGAAATGCCACCAACATAGGTATCTGCAGTGACTGGCTGTCCCACCTTGCCTTGCTGAGGTCAGAAGTTGGCCTTCCCTCAGGTGCCACAGTGGACAGGAAGAGGCAGCCAGTGTGGTCAGGGTTCCAGTGCTCTTGCACAGAGGCCTTTAAGGACACCAAGCAGGCTTCAGGCCTTCCAAGCCCAGGCAGCCTTCCTCCCACCGGTGTTCCATGTCTTAGCAGCTAGCTTCCTGCAGTTCTCAGTGATGGCAAGCACCGCCGTGCATGTACTCGTGGGGTGAGGTCCACCTTACATGGCCTCCATGGACCGTGGATCCCTTGGCAGGGAGCCATCCCTGCAGAGAGTATACTCTGGCCAGTAGTGCCACATGGCCCTAATGGTCGTGTTTGGCTACCAGCTGTGCTGAGAATTCAAGGACTGGCTCCTGGAATGGGATGGAGTGTTAAAGATCCTGTGATAAAAGGTCTCTTCCAGATGGAGGAAGAATGTGGAAGGCCCTAGAATGCAGGCCACGGTGAGAGGAGGGCTCAGGCCGTAGTGCCTTCCTGCATTAGCGTGATGGGATATGGGCTGGCCAGTCCAATTACATCTGTGTTCTGGTCCACTTCATGCAGACCTTCGCAGCTGAGCTTGTTCCAGGCTGTGCCCAGAGGGCGTCCCGCCACCTGGAGTCTTGTGGAGCGCTGTCCAGGCTCCCAGGCCCCAGGTGTCCCTGCTGCACTTGACACTACTTGCCTTCTCCTTCCTCCAGGTCATCCACCAGCTGCGGCTCTCAGAGAATGAGAGTGTGGCCCTGCGGGAGCTGCTGGACTGGAGACGAAAGCTGTGTGAGGAGCAAGAGGACTGGCAGCAGATCCTGCACCCTGCGGAGCCTAGAGCGCCCCCCCCACCACCCTGCAAGAAGCCCAGTCTCCTGAAGAAACCGGAAGGAGCCGCCTGCAACCGGCTGCCCTCGGAGCTCTGGGACAGCACCACCTGACACAGCCCGACTGCCCAGCTTGCTGCACGGCTGCCTCTGACCCACACGGGGGCTGCCCTGCATGCATTTACACAGAAAAGCACAGGACCCTGGTGCTGAGCAGATGAGACGTGTGTGTGTGTGTGTGTGTGTGCGTGCGCGCGCGCTGTTTCTTATCTGTTTTGTGATGGCAGGCTCCATGTCTGCAGGCGTGCTACCCCTCGTGGCAGCAGAAGGCTGGAGAAAGTGCTGATGAGGCACAGGAGGGGACGATGGGTCGGAGCAGGCAGTGACCCATGCACGCCCTGTGTTCTTATAGCAGCCAGCAACGTCTGCGTGTGTCCTCTGGTTTCATGACAACACTGAACACGGGACACTGTATCTTATTTCTTGGAAGACATTTGTGTCTTATGGGGATGACAAACCTGATCGTTATTTACATGTTTCTGACTGCATTTTACAACCTGATGCAATCAGTGGTGCTCCAGTTCATCAAAATATAGACATTAAAACCTCCTTGCTATATTTCTTTTTCTCTCCATACACCCCTTTCTGTATGTGTACAACCCATTGTACCCAAGACCCTCAAGGTCATCCTGTCGTGGTCCCAGCTTCGCCACTGCCCACCCTGGCTGGGAGCATGGACAGAGACCCTTGCTGTAGTCAGTCATGGGTCAGGGGCGGTGGTCTCTGCCCACACCACACTCTGCACTCCTGGCCTCGGGAACTGCCCATACACCCGCCACACAATGTCAGCTCCCCGCTTCCATGTGTGCCCCAGGAGACCTCGCTGCACATGCTTCAGACTCGCGGCTGCTGCCATCTGAAGCACATTTGCACTTAGAGGTGACCCAGGACCAGTCCCCTGGGACTTCCTGGCCACCGTCCTGTCAGCGTCCACTGCATGACCCACCTGCTGTATGAGCTGCACCCTCCCGCAATGCAGTGGCCCTGTGTGTAAATGTGCTCCCGTCAGCTGTCGGTGACAGTGACCCCAGACCACTGTGTCCCTTGACTTAGAGCCTTTCTCTTTGTACCAGCCTTTGTAAGGCGACTGTGCCAATAAAAGGATGCAGTGACGCCCTCCTCTGCCTCTCCTGATTTGTTGTTGCTGTTGTTGTCTTCCAGGGATGCTGGTGTTCTCTGCTTAGACAAGTGAACGCCCCTCACCCCCGTAACAGGTGCGCCCTGCCTGAGTAACACAATGTCAGGGTCTGGAGCTCTGTCTTGAATGTGAGTTTATGCGAATTCTGCTATGGTGGGACCAACAGATAACTGGCAACTGCTGTGAAAAAAGAGAGTTTGTCGTGTTCAGGAATCACAAGGCAAGCAGATCGTGCTGTGGGGAGTGGGAGCAGGTATAGAGGAAGGCCCAGGGCTGGTCCGAGAGCTGAAATAGCCACCTTCACGCCCACAGAAGCAGCAGGCAGGGCAGTGAGTCTTATGGGACAGAAGCTGAGCCTGATGGGCACGCTCCAGCTCCAGTTCAGCCTGGAGTGGGGGCCCAGGGAGCGGGTGATGGAGACGGTGGTTGAGGCAGGGCTCTGTGTTGTGTGATCAGTCACAGGACTAGTCATGTACTGTACCCTGGACGTTTTGTTTTGTTGAAAGGCAGAGCCGAAGAGAGAGCGCCCGTGTGCTTCTCACTCTGCAGATGCCCACCACAGCAGGGACCTGGGGCCAGCTCCAAGCCAGGACACCAGTCATCCACATCCCCCTGGGGCCAGCTCCAAGCCAGGACACCAGTCATCCACATCCCCTGGGGCCAGCTCCAAGCCAGGACACCAGTCATCCACATCCCCCTGGGGCCAGCTCCAAGCCAGAGGACAGGGTCGTTCCACATCTCCCACATGGGTGACAGGGAACAAACACTTGAACTATCCCTGCTGCCACCCGGATGCACATGAGCAAGCAGTTGCTTATGAAGGAGAGCTGGAAGCAGATCCCAGGCCCTCCCAGTGGCTTAACTGCCAAACCAGGTTCCTCTGCTGTGTCTAGGAACTGACAAGGCTAATGAGATAAGTTCAGATGTCGGAGCCCAGGGTACAACAAAGGCAGTTACAACAGTCTCTGTATCCCTACAGACAGCAGCCCGCCCCAGGAGGGGTTCTGCCTGACCTGCAGCTGGGTATCAGCCACGCTCCACCTCTGCGTTCCTCTCCCCTCTCACTCTGACTTCCTCAAACCTAGGAGACACGGAAGAAGGCAGTGTCGCATCCACATGTGGCAGAATCACCAGGATGGAGCCTGCTGGACTCGACACAGCCTTCAGGAGGGAGGTTTATACTCCTTATATACTCTGAAGGAGACAGCTGGGGTGGGATCTTAGACTGGCAGTCCTGCTGCCATTCCACTGAAATGCTGAAGCGACAGTGACTGGGGTCTCAGAGTGAGTGACTCAGGCGGTCCTGCCCAGCTCATGGGAGAAAGCCAGGTCTCTCAGGCCCCTTAGAGAGATGAATGCTTTGGGAAGTAACAGTAAGAGAAGTGGGAGAACTGCTAGAGCAGATTTCTTGAGGGTACCTACCATTTCACCCCTCCCTCTCCTATAGGTAGAAGTAAGAGGTGTGGAGTACCTTTTGCCTGAGAGCCCATCAGAAAGATGCCGGGATGTGTCTACTGCACCGAGGACACAGAGAACCAGTGTCTGGTCCAGGCTAACGGCAGTGAACATGGCTGTTTAAGGATCCCCCTCCACCTCCCAGAGATTTCAAGCCAGCTTCTCTACTCCCTTGGCAGATGGAAACATCTTGGTTTAGGGGCCGGCTCTATCGGATTCCATACCTAGTACTGAAGGATTCCTACAGCTGGAGCCAGAACACTGGAGAGAACCTCGCAACGGGAAGACTGTTCCAAGCCAAGGTTCAGGAGCTAGCAGTCGATCACATCCATGGAAACATTGGCTATGCGATGACTCAGAGCATGACCAATGAAAAAGAGACAACAGAGGGACCTGCAGGAACACGACTCAGCCCAGTGGGGGAATCAGCCTGAGCGCGGAAAGCGAGTGTCATCATGAGAGCGGCAGGAGAGACCTCACTGATTCAAGTGCAGGGCCAGCTCTGCCAGTCAAGACCGCACAGAGAGCCAGGGCGCGGGAACCGGTCTGTGACCAGTCTTGGCAGTATGGCGAAGAGACAGACAGCTCCTGCAGGTGCTGAGACAGGGCTGTCCAGTGAGAAGCCACTGCAGGTGGGAGAGCAGAAGGCAGGATGAGCTGACCACACAAGAACATTTGGGCCTGCAAGGACCTGGTGCATGTTTTCCAGGGGCAGAAAAGCCCCACATTGCTTCCCTCCACTCTTCTGATCTCGCCCCCTCTGCTCCTTCCAGTAAGTCTTCTGCATAAAATGGCCTTTTCAATGTGTCCACCTGCCTTATGCTCCTCGGGTCCATTTCAGGAACCCCTAGGACACAACCAAAGCAGGTACATTCCATGTGTCCCCTCCCCATTCACAGGGGTAGATTGTGATTTCCCCCCAAAAAAAACACAAAGTCTTGTTTGTTTGCTTGCCAGAGAAGGAAAGAGCAGATTTCCAGCTCATGGCTCCTGGGAGAGCTCCACTGGCCAGGAGTACGGTGTGCTAGGGTGCTGAGAATCAGGAAATGCCCAGGGTAACAGCCAGCTCCTTATTTGCCAGGGCTCACTGGGCTCCGCAGAGGGCATCCTACGTGCCTCGAAGTAGTTCCCGTCCACTTTTGAAAACCAAGAATCACACATTATGAAAACTCTTTGGGTTTGTTTTAATTGTGTGCTTTTTTCTTTGGTGAGTATGTCGTGGGAGTGGGAATGTTTTTTTGTCTTAGTTTTTTTGGTTAGAAAATGATTTCCTGAAAATTTTATGAAAAAATCACAATAATTCTGAAATCTAAAAAATAGCTCTTCCGTGCAGAAACCAGCAACACAGCCTCTTCTCAGTGTTATTGGAGGATGGTAATCAATGAGTCTGTGGCCACTCAGCCCAGCACTGAGTTGGTATAACAGCCTGCACCATCACCCACCCGTAACCTAGACAGATCTTCTGGCCCTCGGCTCCATCCGTGGCCCATCATCAGCCATCTGGACATTTGGAGATTCTTCTCAATTGCGAGTTACTCCTAAGTGCATTTGGAGGGGACCCTGGCAACGAACTTTGCAGCCCAGCATACAACAGCAATTGCTCTGCAGGCAGCCACCCTGAGGCTTGTACTCGTGGCGGTTTTGAGCTGGAAGAAAGGATGCAAAGGCAGCTGTCCTGAGCTTGCTGTCTCCTTGCCTCCCCAGTACATAAGCCTCTAACCTCCTCCCAACTGCACAGTTTAGGGAAACGGGATGAGAAGAGATGGCAAACCAAGGGATGGCTCTTCCAGTATCCTCCGGTCTCCAAGTTCCCTTCTTCTCCCTGAGCAGACCACACCCCAAGGGGTCTGCCCTCCCTGCCTGGGTGAAGCAGCCCATAAGTCCAGACAACCCCTGGAAGACCACTGTTGTAAGGTGGACTGGAAGACTGATGGTCTGAATTTCAAGAGCTGGAGGGGAGACGGAGGCTGAGGCTTCTGCAGGCTGGTCATGGTCACTTCATCACTCCCTGCTTCCTTAGGGAACACGTGGGGACTGTGGCGCCCTTCCTCAGCTCCCACCAGCTGGAGACTGGGCACAGCCCCGCCTGAGGGCACAGGGGATGCAGGACAAGTACAGAACTAGCAACCGGTCAAAGGCATGGGTGGTCTTCTCTCTGTTGTGCTTTTGAGAGCAACTGCAGTAACAGTGGACATGCGGCATGTACAGAGCCCTTAGCCTTCCGTTTCTCTATTCTCGCGTCTTCACTCCGTTTCCAGGAGTGCCTGCCCTCTTCCAGGCTGTAGCTTTGACTTACAGAAGTTGTATGCCATCAGTTTGGGTTTGTGCACAATTATAGTGTTCAGTCCTTTGTTTTATGCTCGTCTCAGGGGATCCCAATGTGTTCATTTTTAACCTGTTTCTGGCTCAAACTTTCCACCCAAAATCTATCTACATGGCTTTACGTTTCTACCTAACACTGTATTGGCTTAAATTTCCTCCTGTTCATCAAAAATAAACCTCAACATGTCTCCTGTCAAACCGTTAACTTCATGAACCGTTAACTTCAAAATGAAGCAAAAGCAGATTTGTTCTTTTTTTTAAGATTCATTTTCTTTTCATTGGAGTCAGATACAGAGAGGAGGAGAGACAGAGAGGAAGGTCTTCCATCCAATGATTCACACCCCAAGCAGCCGTAATGGCTGGAGCTGCACTGATCTGAAGCCAAGAATCTCTTCCAGGTCTCCCATGCAGATGCAGGGTCCCAAGGCTTTGGGTCATCCTCAGCTGCTTTCCCAGGCCACAAGCAGTGAGCTGGATGGAGAGCAGGGCCACAGGGGTTAGAACCGGCACCCACATGGGTTCCCAGTGAGTGCAAAGCAAGAACTTTAGCTGCTAGGCTATGGAGCTGGGTCCTGCAAGTTTATTCTTAATAAGTTCATTTGACATGTGGTGTAGGTTTTCAGCGTAGCTCTAAATACGACAACATCATAGATTATTTGACGCAGAGCAGCAAAGCACTGAAAATGTCCAAGCTGTGATGCCTGTCTTCCATTTCCTACGGGCTCGGTTCCCTTTCACCTCTACCTCTCATCTTTTTATAGCTTCACATTTTTGTGGCTATTACAAGAGCATCGTTCCTAAAAATGTCAGCTCACTCAGATTGTCAGCTGGGTGATTCATTTGCTGGCAAATGACAGGAAGCCTTGACGGCCACCTGTGAGTGAGTAGTGTGGTTGTCCCCTACTTGCAGGATGGCTCCTAGGGACGTGCCCGATGCTGGGAGAATTGGGAAGGGTCCGAGGCTGCTGCTTTCTGGACACAGTCAGAGACTGAGGTGGGGGGCGGGGGCGGGGGACACAGGGAGGAGAAATAATGTCACTCCTTCTTAGCCATGTGTGAGAAAGAGACCAAGTGAGTACATGCACTCAGCTTACATTTTTCAACTGGGAATTAGAAGTTATGCTGTGGTCCCACTGAAGTTCTCTCATGAACATGTTTTATTTTAGGTGTGGGAATACTTAAAGCCAATGCAT